ACGCTCAAGAGCCGAGATGCCAGTTCCCACGCACAGAAGTCCTTTCCTCTCTTCTGAGCCCCACAGAGCCCCACAGCACAAAGAGCACTCCCTGGCTGTGAGGGCAGACCTGGTTCTTGTCCCAGAGCTGGCTCTGATCCTCCGTGTGATTCGGCCAGTGACAGCCACCCTGGCCACCCCTCTCGTGCGTCACAAGACATAACTGGACTCAGTGTTGTCTCAAGTCCCACTTAACATTCAGGGGCTTGAAACAAGAAACAAAACCATGAAATCAATCTCCAGACCTCCTCCTCTCTCCATAAACATGCTCAGCTATTTCAGACAACACTGCCCAGCCAGAACTTTGCTTACTGCCCTTAGAGCAGCCTCCCTCACCAAACCCCAGCAGTCACCTGCTGCGCTTTAGTGCCACTCTCAGCAACTCTCTGTCCTTTGACTTTCACTCTAAAGGTCACTATACTCATTTCCATCCCACCTTCGCTTTGGTGTGGACAGTCCAGGACCAGAAGCTCAAAGATGTGAGGGGATACGTGGCTTCCTGGGAGCTTCCCATGGACCCCCAACATGATCAGTGCCACACACACCTCACCTCTAGTGGATCAGTGTCTCCATCCAATGCATTCGGTTTATTGGATGTAAAAGATCATGGAAGGAGACCTGCCGTCTTGCTCTCTCTCTGTATGTATGTATCTGTGTATATGTCTCGTAAGGCTGCCTGTGAGTTTACACTCATGGGCACTGGAACAAACTGGAGTCCTTTTTCACTTTTCAACTGAGTCTCAGTGACACTGGCTGCCCCTTGGCAATGTTTCCATGCAAAGTGCATGTGGTTAGGGACATAAAGGCCAGGGGACACACAGACAAGGTGCTGAGGAAGACGGGAAGATGGGCCCCCCTCCCCAATTCACCTCTGGAACAGACTGACAACATAAGCACAACTGCTAATTCTTCATCACACTCAAATGGGATTCATGGCTGGGAGTAGGCCGTCAGCCTTCCATCCTTGTACCCTGGGGGTGACCCTCTGTCCCCAGATGGCAGAAGCGTCCATTCTCATGGATACTCTTCTCTGGCAAGACCAGCGGTTCTCCAATTTAGACGCACTTTAGAATCATTTGGAAGCTTTAACACATCATCAACAAGCCCCCCAACCCAATGCTGTCATGTTGACATGGGCAGGGCCCAGATATAAGCATCTTAGATGCTGTGGGGTTCTAATGTGCTGTGCACTGTCCTGGGGTGGATGGCTGCCTATATTTCCTAAGTGTCTCTAAGCTGAAGCCAAGAAGCCCAATTCTTCTGGAATTGGAATGGACCAAGGCGTTGGTCTGAGGCTCAGGTACAACTCCCCTGGGAGCTGAAGCAGGATCAGCACTCCCAGAACTTCAGCACCAGCACCACATCAAAGGCTACCTGCTCTGAAGTCCTTCTGAGAAGTACTGCCCCCAGTCAACTGGTGGGGACAAGCGCCTGCTGACCACAGGTCTGAAGTGAGATAGCTGGCCACTCTGCCCTCTCTCCATCCACTGCACTGGAGCTAGAGCCTGGGAGACCCTAACAGGCAGGTCCCCAGAGGATGAGACAACCCCTTATCCTAGCCCTTAGATAGCTAAACACCCTTTTGTTTTTTTCTTGGCCAAGAAGAGCACAAGCCCCCAGGGGCACACTGAAGGCCCTCTCTCTCCCAGTGGTCCTCCAGTCTCATATCAACTTCCTCTGCCCTGTGACCTTGTGCTTCCCACAGCGGGAAAGCTGAGAGTTGGGTTGTTACCTCATTCTTCATCTCAGCCCCAAAGCAGTGCCACAATTAAGAACAAGACCTCTGAGACCTCAGGACACCTCACATGCTTGCTCACCCTTTTTTGGCTGTGTGACTTACAAAGTAACAGCTGAATCTCTACAGCTGTACCTATACTAGGGAAGGAACAGCCCCACCCAGCTATATGCTGGTGAGTTTTAAATGAGCTAAACATATGATTGTGTGTGTCTGTCTTTAGGTATAAAGACTTAGAACCTGGTCCCTGATAATTAAGGGCCAGGAGCTGAAGACCCTGCCTGCCATACCTTCTGCCTCTTCTAGGGTCACCCCATCTGGAGTTTTCTCTGCCACATTCTCATGCCTCTCCATCTGCCCTCTGAAGCTCAGATCTGGTCCTCAATCCATCTTCTGCTCTTCTAGAAAGCCTTTCCAGATGGTTCCAAATGGTACTGACTTATTTCCTAGAGAAATCTCTACACATCCAAATATGTGTTGGATGACAACTCTAAATAACCACAATGTCAATGTCTTCGTTGAGTACTTAGCAAATGCCACTCACCATCCTCAGCACTTCCCTCAGATTCTGTCATTTAGTGAAATAATCCTGTGTGGTGGATATTCATTTTGCCTTCCGTTTTGCAGACCAGAAAATGAATTCAGTCCCCTCATAAAGCCACACACAGGGCGGGGGCCGGGGCTCAGTGCTTTCATTCTGTTAAGGCAGCGTCTTTCTGTAGTTGAGCATAAAAGCCAATCAAATACTAATTCCACCTCTGCTTCCTACCAGGCTGTCTCTAAACAAGAAATCTAACTTCCATGTGCCTCAGTTTCCTCGTTTATAAAAGAAGAGTGGTAATAGCCCTCCCCTAGCTTGCTGGGGTGGGAGAGTCAAGCCCCACAGGACAGAAATCCTCACTTTGCACCATCCATGGCTTCCTGCAAACTGACTTGAAGAGAAAAACAGAGAAAGAAGCTAATTTACCACACGCTAATAGAGAAATGAGAGTTCAGTTCCTACGATGTATTTCTGGTCAGGAAAATATCACCAAATGTCTAAATGAAGACCCAAAAGCACTTTTCCATATTCATTCATTCCTTTTCCAACCTGCTTATTCCAGTTCAGGGTGACAGGCAGCCAGAGCCTGTCCGGACACCCAGGAGAGGAGCGGGAGCCAACCTGGACTTCACCTTTCGACCTCAGGGTGCTCCCACTTGCACTCCCACACTCGCTAGGACTGGGACAAGGGAGGCATGCCAAGAAGCCGACTGTGCATCTCTGGAATGTGGAGGACTCTGGAGGCCCTGGAGGAAACCCACGCATGCAGAAGGATGTGCTCGCGCACAGACAGTGGTCCCTGTCCGGGACTCTGTTTTTTCTCATCAACATTATAACAAAACTCCATTGAACAAAAGGACATTATCAAGAAACTGCTCCACAGGGCACTCGGATCCACAAAAGGCTTAGCTGTTAACATAATCCCACGGTTCCTTTTAATAGAGGGGATTCTGAGCCCCAGAGTAGGAAAAGGCCATGAAGGTGCGATCCCCTTGGTTCCACAGCCCCTCTTCTTTCCCAGATGAAGGTTGTCTTTGACTCTGCTCTATCCTATAATGCCCCATCCTATAGCTCAAAACTGGAATAGGGAGAGGGTGACCTTTCCTCAAGCAGAGTTTGGGAAAGAGGGCGTGGCTTCTCCTCTTTGTTCTAGGCCCTTGGGGTTAGAGGAAAGCCTTTCCCAGGCCTCCGGGAGACTCCTTTACACCCCTTGCCCTCCTTGATACCCAGCCAGCCTAAATGCCAGTCCCTCTTTGAAGCCCTCCGTGACTCCACACCCTACACTCACTCTGCCCAGCAGGAGGTATTTGCTCCCTCAGCTGAAATCTTCCAGCACCAACCATGCCCCTACCTCCCACTTCCACTCTTCCTTCATGGGTGCTTCTGATAGCTCAATCCCAAATGTATGTGATGCAAGAACAATGATCCTGGGCTGGGAGGCCAGACACCTGGGTTCCAGATCCCCTGTCACCCTGCATCCCCCCACCTCATGGTCAAAAGACACTGTCCTCACATCTCTACTTTCCCACCTCTTAGACAATAGGCTTGGGCCTAAGAGTCTTTTCAATTTCCTCCAACAGTGGGCCCATCTGGCCCCCTTGCTCAGTTTCCCTAATTGGTGGAGTCCAGAATCCTCTTCCGGCCTCAAATTAGGGCTGAGCAAGAGCTCGGCTGGAGGGAAAGGCCGGTACTGCTGAGAGCAGCTCCATTACCAGCTAATGTTCACAGACTGGACGGGGAGCTGGACCCACAGGGACCATTATATTTAACTGGGCTGCAGATTAATCAAGTATTTAAACAGATGGTGCTCAAAGAGCTCCTAGTAAATGAGGGGGGACCCAGAGGGAAATGTAGATCCCTCTGGCCTGGGTGGAGTCCCACTTTCCAATGACTGAGGCTGATGAGGCCTTGAGGGGATGCCCCCACCCCAAGTCCCCAGCTTCCCATGCAGAAACTCCCCTGGCTGGGCCTTCACCCCATGGACCTCGGCTTGCCACCTGCACAAGCAAGGACTGAAGAGCAGAGGGTTTACAAAGGATTGTTAGGTCTCAGTCACAGGCCATGCCACTCTGTTGGCACATCTGGAAATGCTGCATGGGATATTTTGGTTTTCACTGGGGCTGGAGAGTTTTATGGGCAATTCTGGGGAGAGCTAAGGTTGCTAACTGCCCCGAAGCACACGGTCCCTCCCAGCACAAAGATGCAGTATCCTCCCCCAAAGCTAAAGGCAGCCCCAGGAGAAGCACTGCACCCACAGACTATAGAAACAGGATTCCTGCAGCTTCAAAAGACTGAGCAGAGGAGGTGGGAAATGACCCCGCATCTGATCTGTGCTGACCAGGTGCTTGCCTGCTCAGCCACTGGCGACAGCTGTGTCCCTGCTGCCATCGGGCTGTCTGCTAAGGAGCCCTGTGACAGCCGCTGCCCAGCTGAGGCTCCAGCTCTCTCTGAGCCCACGGCAGTGAAGGTGGTCATATCCTAAAACCCAGACAGCCCTTGCAGAATGAGGCATCCAGGGAAGGTCGATCTCAAGAAGGCAGTCACAGGGTTACTGCCCAGAGCCTACTGAAGAGCTTCCTGAAGGATGCCCCCGTCTCTCTCGCCAAGATGACAGAGATGGGAAGGCAGTGCCAGAACCCGAACTGAAAGCGCTCGGGACACCACACCCCCCTGTCACCCACTCACCTGGGGAGGAGTCATTCAAGCCCAGCAGGTCATTTGCCCTCTGGATCTTCTGCAGGCACACAGCCTGCTCCTTCTTGAAGAGGCAGTCAGAATGCATGGCGGTGGCCTGTGAGCGACACAGAGATGACAGGAGGGGATAACAGGAGGTTCAATCCAAGCCACACTACCCAAACCCAAGGAGCAGGGCCCTGTGGGTGGAGGCAGAAGCAGAAAGAGGATAGTGACAGATTTCAGGGCCAGCCGGAGCCAGCTCTGACATCCACTTTATCACAGACACCAAGAGGGCTCTTCTCAACTCAGTGTGAGGCCTTGGGCAGATCCCTCCCTTGTCGCGTCTTAAGAGTAATACAATCCAAAGCACACATACATAACACTTTATTAGGTGCCTGAATTATTCTGTCATTTATATATGCACACAAAATACATCTCAAATTTCAAGTGCGCCCAGAGCTCATCGTGGAGGAGAGGGTCCTGGGCCCTTACCACAGGCAGCAGGAGCAGAGCAGCCAGGGAGACCTGCACAACGCTGGTCATGGCGCTTCGGCTGGAGGGAGGCCAGCACTACGTGCCTCCCACTCAGAGCAGGCTCCGGTCAGCCCCAAGGTGTGCACGGGCTAGAGAGAAAGGAAAGGTAGTAATTGCGTGGGCCCAGGGCGCGGCAGGGGCAGGGACGAGGCTCTCGGTCACCAAGGCCTACCCTCCTCTATGGCTTCATCTGCACACGTTGCTATCTGTTATTTACTCCACAAATATCTGAGCACCAAACCAGTGCAAGGCCCGGGGCCACAGTGAGAGCAGATGGACTCAAGGCTTGCTCCTCAGCAGCAGGTAACAGCCCCCCCAACCTGTCCCCACGGTGGCAGTTCTAGCTGGCACACGCTCTCCCTGGGGGGCATGTCCCAGTTTGTCTCACTCCCAGGGATGGAGCGGTGGCCGTGACCTGTGCCAGGTCTGCTGCACTGGTTGTCACTCTGCTTTCCCAGATGCTGTCCTCAGCTTGGCTGGCGGCGCCAGGCCACACCTGAGGGTAAGGAGCAGCATTCCAAAGAGACCCAAGATCACCAAGTGAACTCAGACTTGGGGACCAGGTCTCCCCATCAGCGGCAGGCCTACCTGGCTCCAGATTGCAAGTGAGAACGCAGTGACTTCCATCCAACACACTCGGCACAGAGGGCAGCTTGTTCCAGCTGCAGAGCCCAGACCCCTCGCAAACACAGATTCCTTTCATCCTGACTCAGCGCCCTTGGCCTCCGGGATAAAGCCTTTTACACCGCCACATTTGAAACAAAGCAACTGCGGAAGGACATGCTGGGGTCCCAGAGTTGCGGGACTGCAGGGCTGGGGCCACGAGTGGGGACCGGACAGGTTAGAAGGAGTCCAGTGAGGAGGCAGGGCACAGCCCTGGGGGGAAGAGTCAGCCTGCTTCTTAAATGGATCCTTAACACAGATTCCCTCCAACCCAGCGATTCTGCATCTGGGTATCTATCCTAGAGAAGAAATTTGCACTTGTATAGAAAGAAGGATATGCAAGGATATTCTCTGCAGCAGCATTATTTAAAATAGCATCAACAGCAAAATATGGGGCAGCAAAGCATCCATCAAGAAGGCACTGTTAATAGGCCCCAGCATAACCATACAGTGAAACACCACGCGGAAATCTCAAAATGATGTTATTACTACCGTTACTGAAATGACTGAGAAAAACAACGTCAGGATCACCACTAACCCACGGGTGTCCAGTTTGGAAGGCCCGTGGGGGCTTGCACACCCTTGGACAGAGCTGCTGGGACCCCAGGTCTTCTGTGTCCCCCTGATTCTGCCTACCCATACCTCAATCGCTCTTGTTTTGCCTCTCAAAACACCCCAAAAAGAGAAAGGAAAGCAGATCAATAAGGCTGAACGAAAAGGGGCCCGTTTAAGCCACTCACTACTGTGCCTGCTCAGGACCCACCCAGATGCTGAGTGAGGACTTGGGTATCTCTAAGGAATGCTCTGAGAAGCTCAGTGGGGCCTGGCTAGCCTCTCCCCTGCAGGTCTTGGGAAGGACTTGGCGGGCTGGGGAAGCACCCAGGACACCTACTACACCACTCAGCCTTCAGCCTCCATAACCTCTCCAGGGTCCTCACACCCTGGTGGCCACAGGCTACCTCAGGCTTGAACAGATACTGGAGGTCCCCCCCCCCCAAAGCTGGGTTACCTCCACCATTCACAAGGGATCCCAAGACTCTGCAGTAAACTGACACTCCTGACCTGACTGGCAGGCACAGAGGCCTGGTCCCCTGCCCACCACGCCCTGCCCATCACAGAAGCTGGAGGCCACCGCTTTGGCCACAGAGGGCTTAGAGAAGCAATGTCAGTGCAGAAAGTCCCCACGATCTGAGGCTGATGCTAGGACAACGTCCCGTCAAAGGCTGGCAGGGTCTGAAGCCAGGGGAGGGGGCCTCCACCCAGGTCAGTGCTGCACTGCTCCAGCACCTCCCTCAGTCCTGGCAGAAGGGCCGGCAGCCACAACCTTGGCCAGGGCTCTGGCCACAGCATCCAGTCATGGTCTAGACTCTGCTGCCGGGGGTCCCAGCTTTCTGGGCTGAGATGAAAGTGACCCCTCACCTTAGCTCCCTCTTTGAGCTGCCTCTCAGCCAGTGAATCCAGACAAGAATCTGAGGGGGCTGCTGGAGGTACGGCCTGTGCTACCAGGCAGACACACTCAGGCCTCCTTCCTGGGGAGATAGGGGTCTCCCTTGCACTCCCAGCTAGGAGCCACCAGAAGAAACAGCCAGTCACTCTTTCTGTATCTTGTGAGGGATTTTACCCTGGAGCACCAAGCAAACTTCCTATGAGAAGGAGCCCTGCAGGCTCCAGGGCACCCTGGGATGGTAGTAACACTACCCATTCAAGACTGGGGTCCCACAACTGGTGACTTGTGGCTCTACTCCCAGGCCCCTGGCCCCAGCCCCAACATGTGCTCTGACCTCTTAGTCCAGCACTCAACCTGAGCTGCCCAGAAGAACCACAGGGGAGCTCCAGAAAACTAACCCCATTCAATGGAGTGTCGGGGTGCAGGGGGAGGGTCCCCTGGCCTTGGTGTTGGCTAAAGCTTTCTAGGTAGTCTCTGGTACAGATGGGACTACAAAGCCTGTTGTCACCTTCACTAGAAACAAAAGCACTGAGGAAGCTTCCAGCATCCACCTTTCGTTGCTCTAGAGACTAAGTAGTCCACACGGGAAGAGGGTGAGTGTGACTGTTTTGAAGGCTGGCTGATTACCGACATCCTCCTCTCTCTTTCTTGCTCTCGCTCTTTCTCTCTCTCTCTCTTCCTCTCTCTGTCACACACACACTCTTCCTCTGTCACACACACGTGCATGCACCGTACACAAATACACAGAAGCAGGCTTACAGAGAACCACAGACTTACAGAGAAGAGCACAGTGACAGGTGAACTGCAGAGAGAGACATGAATCCCCAGGGCACCCGCCTGAAGCCATCAATGCAAACACCACATGCAGAACACACAAAGGTAGAGATTCCTTCAGGGATGGATGGACAATGCCACGCACACACACACACACACACACACACTCCTTCACAGACACGCAGACGCACACTCCCAGAACAAAACAGAGTAGAAGCAACCACTCAGAATGCAGATGTTCGGGCATGTTTACCAGAGCCTTGACATACAAACCAACACGCACATCTGCGAGGCATCGAGATAGAGCAGCTAGATATATTTGGATTCGGGCGTGTATGTGGGCACACACAAAAACATACACATATGCTCACGAGAGCGCTTTCATTCTCTCTCTCTCTTGCTCGCTCACTCTCTCTCACACACACAAGCCCCCAGACTCATAGGATACTCACCCCTGTTGTTCCCTCAGAGTCCCCTGTCACAGCCACAGAGAACTATACGGAGGAGGCCACAGCCCCAGCCCCACCCCCAGCTTTGTCACCAGGCTGCTTAGGCAGAGATATGAACCAGGAACATGTGTGCCCCATCTCAGTGACATGGTGGGGCTTGGGGTAACGCTCAACACGGGGCCTCTCGTGGAACTTGACCGGGTTATTATTCCTGCTGCTCTCCCCACTACAGTCCATCCCCTGTCTGGCTGGACATACACTAGCAGCAAAAGAGGTGGAGAGAGCGAACCCATAGGTCCCAGGCCTTAACCTTTCTGCTCCTCCCCTCAGCTGGAGACCCCTCCAGGTTGGCAATGTACTCCCAGCACTCTGGTCCACTGCTGCCCCCACCTCAAGTCCACCCTGCACCACTCTTGAGGAGTTTACTGTCCCCACACTTCGCACTTGGTGCTCCTTACTCCTTGGGGCCACACACATGACTCCTCTGTCCCAGGCCTGCCCTCTGAGATGCGGTCTGTGGGTCTGCCACCCCTAGGCCTATCAGCTACTCCCCAACCTACATGCTCCCTCCTCTGGACTTCCCAAGCTCCAGGGACCCTTTCATGGGACAGAGCCAGCCTGCCTGCTGCAGCCAGGGTTGGAGCCCCACTCTCTGAGGATGGGCTTGGGTTATCCAGCCCAGCCACGCAAATGCCTCAGGGTGACCTGGTCACTGGTAGTCAGTCCCAGCACTCTCTCAGAGCCACTGGCTTGAGCTAGCCATTGGCTCTACTACTGCTCTAGGGACAATTTAACTCTACATCCTGACATTTGGTGCAGTAGCCACAGGGGCTTGATTTGCTAGAGTTTTAGCCACAGGACTTCCGGTGAGTCATTTCACTTTTGATTGTCTGTAAAATGGAACAATAGCCAGACTGATCTCATAGATACTACTGACGGATCAACCGATTTCTCTTATAATTCTATATGGCGTTGTCAACAGTGTATCTACAGTTAATATACATCACCACATAAGTAGTGCCAGAGCCTGGCTCCCCTAAGGGCTCCACATGTGTTAACTATTTTTATCTTACCGCTTTGTGTTCACTTTTTTTCCTTATCTCGTTGTCACTTCCACCCCCATAGCCATGTGGCACATTAGAATGAGAATGTTAGGTCTGCTCTACCTTTATTTGCTAAGGGATAACATTCCTTAAACATGAGTATGTGCCAAGCACACTTTCAAACAACAAATATGCACTAACTCAT